GTCCCCAGCACTTGGCACATAGCAAGGACTCAATAAAAGTTTTCTGAAAAGAGACCTACCTCTAACCTCCTTTTCTTTGAAACTCACCCTTGCACCCTGAATCACACCTGCAGCTATTGCTAAGGTGTGCCCCACACTTTCCCTCCCCTCTGCCTTTGCTTACTCAACAATTTCCATCTGGATGCCCTGCTCCCTCTTTCCTGCTTCTGAGCCCTCACAAAGCACAGTCCCCTTGGGAGCTGAGACTGAGCAAGTGGACCTGACTTGCACTTGCAGCCTTGTGCCTGCCATGTGGCTGCTGGCTGTGCTATGCTGGCCAACCCCTGGCCAAGTCACCATAAAGCAGTATCAGAGGGACTGTGCCTCTTCAGGCCCTTTGTCCCCTTGGGAAATAATGTCTGAGAACTTCTCCCCAGGTCAAAGTGCAGGCTGATTTCCAGAGGAGACTCCAACTGTCTCCATTACTTGAGGGCCTCTGACCTTCTCTACCACGCCTGACTCATCCTGCCATCCTCTGCTGTCTTTATTTGTGCATGTAGTGAGGGGAGGAGGTTGCCTTCCCCACATAAAGGTGAGGCCTCTGAGGCAGGCTCTGAGGGCCCTTGAGAACTGTTAGGAAGTGATAAATTAATAACTGAGTCCTTACATGGATAGCTCCTGACACATTAGTCAGGGAGGCCAATTACAATAACAAACACACTCCTACCTCAGTGGCTTTAGCCAGTAAAAGGGCATGTTTTTGCACACACAAAGTCCAGCATGGATATTCCTGCTTGGATGGCTCCCTTGGGCAGCCCTCCTCTGAGATCAGGGCTCTATACTCCTTGCATCTTGTGCTATTGATATCTTCAACACGAAGCCTCCAAGGTTGCTGTGAAAGAAGGAGAGACCTTTCCCCTCTGGCCAAGCCTCTCCCCCACCCCCTATCTCCCATCCTGGCACCCGTCTGTCTAATGGCCACCTTGTACTCCATCCTAGCCCAGGCTGGGGGGGTCACAGTCATCCTTCCTACCTGCAGCTTTTGCTCAAGCTGTTGCTCCCACCCCACTGGGTCCCCTTTATATGGCTAGCTCAGTCTTTGTCCTCCAAGGCAAGCTGCCTTGTGCAGAAGTAAATAGCATCGGTGTGGTACAGTCTAGCCTCTGAAGCTCATCCACCATCACTGTAGCAGCCAGCCTCCAAGCTGGCACCCAGGGATCCCACCCCCAGGTATTCACACCCTTGTATGGAGTGGGGACTGGACTTAGTGACTCACATCTAACCAAGAGAGTAAGGTGGAATCGATAGTGTGAGACTCAGAGACCAGGTCATAAAAGGCAGTGTGGCCTCTCTCTTTCTCTTGACTCACTCACTCTGGGAGAAGCCATCCATGTCATTGGCAGTGGTGTGGAGAGGCCCACATAGCAAACAACGAAGCCTCCTGCCAACAGCCACACAAGTAGGCCTGGAAGCAGGTCCTGCAGTCCCACTCAGGCCTTCAGAGACCACAGCTCCGGCCCCAGTCCCAGCCTGGCTGCAACCTCATGAGAAACCCTAAGCCAGAACCACTCTAGTAAGCCATTCCCAGACACCTGACCCCCAGAAACTGAGAGTCGATGAGGATTTGTTGTTTAAAGCAGCCAAGCTTTGGAGTGATCTGTCATGCAGTGATAGACAACTAATTTAATCACCTCAGAGGCAAGGCCTGGGTCTCCTTCCCCTGATCCCTGCCCCAGGCCTCATGTGGGTGAGGTTGAGAGGAAGCACACATGTGAGGATTCATTTACTCAACCAACTCCCTCTCACTGGGGATGCTGAGGTCCTGTGCTGGCGGTGGAGCTGGGTCAAATGGGGCTGAAGGCACCGTGGATAAGGGCCTAAGGGGGTTCCCAGTCCGCTGGGAGACAGAGAAGTCCACTCACCTATGAATAACTATGACCCTTTCATCCCCGAAGATAGTGCAAAAGAGGGCTGATGCAGGGCAAAGGGCAGAGTTTGAGGGTTGAAGGGTAGGATGAGGTTTGACAAAGGAGGCGACCTTTGGGAGTGAGTGACACTGATCGGACCAAGAAGAAAGAGTGTTCCAGGAGGAAGGGAATGGTGTGCCCATAAATAAGCCAGTGCAAGAGCAGAGTATACTGAGAGAGCAGCAAAGGGGGTGAGAGTGACTGGTGGCAAGGGGAGAGGGTCCAGAGGTGAGGCTGGTGGGGTCTAGAGGGCAGATGATAAAGGCATTGAATGCCAGGCTGAGGAGGAGTTTAGGCATTATCCTGAGGCACTGGAGACCACTTAGAGAGTTCTAAGTTTTATTTGTGAGACAGGATGCAGGTCCTGTTTGTGGGTAGGCTGGAGGGAGGGCACTAGAGGCAGGGGCATTGGCGCAGCATTTACCTGGACAGCAACACCTCCTCCCCAGGGTGCTAAGGGCTATGGCAGAGGAATAGAAAGTCTGGAGAAGCCAGAGGAAACCCCTCGCAATCAGAGGCACTGGGGAAGACTTTTTTGCACAGATAAAATCAGTATTGGAGGATGAGTAGGAATTATCCAGACAAAGGGGAGATAATGGGGAGGAGATGGCATTCCATGGCATCCGACATCATGGGCAAAAGCTCAGAGGTGAGACACTGTAGCTGGCACAAAGAAATGCAAATGGTTCCGAGTGATGGGAGCATGGAGTAAGGGAGGAAGAGAGATGAGGATAGACAGGCTGGGCCAGATGCTGGAGAGTGGCAAATGGCAGGCTGAGAATCTCGGACTTGGAGGTGGACATGTTCCATCTTCCGTTGACCCCTCCAGATCAACTCTGCCTGTCTTTGCCTTTCTCCCTTTCCCAGGAGGCCTACATGCCTGGACTGCAGCCACAGGCCCTCCTTCCCTCCAGCTTCTAGTTGGGCTCAGGCAGTGGGGAACTTGGCAGCAGACTGAATGGAGGAAGGAGAATGAGGTGGGAATGCTTGCTCCTGGCTCCTCCCTTGCAGGGTCACCAGACCTGCTCATGCCCCTTGACCAACAATGGCCCCCACACAGGAGTCTTCCTGGTTCAGGAACTGCTGCTTCCATTCATCCTTCCAGGCCTCAGGGTGGAAACAGTGCACACATTTCAAAAAATGGTTCCTTTTTAAACCCTCCTCAAATTATCTTCTGGTTCCTGCTGGATCCTGATCCTGTGGATTCAGACTGGTCCAAACCCTATCCTAGGAGCAATGGAGGGTCATGGAAGGATGCTGAGTAGGGAATGATGCGGTCAGCTTTGTGTTTTATACAGCTCACTGTGGCTCTGCATGAGGGATCAATGCAGGAGAGCGAGAGGGAGATAGGGCAGAGATGCAAGGCTGAGCTGGGATCCTCAGGATACACAGTGGTGGTGCCATGGTCACACAGGGAATTCCAGGGTTTGTGTGCCTGGGGTGGGCAGTGGTTGTGCTTCAGGGTTTTCGTTTTTAATTTTTGGTGGATTGTTTGCAAACATGGCAGTAAGAATCCCTGCATGTGACCACACCCTTTTGTAATATGACATTGTTGCTCCTCCCATCCAGAGGGGGATCCTATTCCTTATTCCCTGAATCTGCTGGGTTGTGACTTGCTTTGACCAACAGAATGCAGCAGAAGTGATGCTTGTGAGGTGTGCAGCCTAGGACTTGAGCCCGTGCAGCTTTGTTTCTCATTTTTTGGAATCAGCCACCGATGAATGCTAACAGACCACTCAGTATAGAGAGGGGCCCAGTGTCCACGTGCAAAGAGAGGCCCAGCCCCTCTAGCATCCCTAGCTGTCTCAGCCCCAGCTGATCCCTTGGCTGGATGCAGCTGCAAGACCCAAGAGGAACCACCCAGAGAATCCATAGAATTGTGAGAAGTAATAAATCCTCACACTCTTCAATCATTAAGTTGTGGTGGTGGTGGTTGTTGTTTTTGAGACAGGATTTCATTCTGTTGCCCAGGCTGGAGTACGGTGGTGCAATCTCGAGTCACTGCAACCTCCGCCATTTGGGCTCAGACAATCCTCTCACCTTAGTCCTCTAAGTATCTGAGACTACAGGCACAAGCCACCATGCCCGGCTAATGTTTGTATGTATTTCTCTTTTTGTACAAAGGGGGTTTCACCGTGTTTCCCAGGCTGGTCTCAAACTCTTGAGCTCAAGTGATCCACCCACCTTGGCCCCACAAAGTGCTGGGATTACAGATGTGAGCCACCATGCCCAGCCAGCCATTAAGTTTTGAAGTGGTTCGTTATACAGCAGTAGGTAATTACTATGGGCTGTTATTTATCTCCTTTGCAAATCTCCCTCTTCCTTCAAGGTCCTGCCCACGTGTCACCTCCTCCAAGTCCTCCCCTCGTCTGTAAATCATCCCTCCCTTCTCTGAACTCCACTGCTTCTTCTTCCTGCTCCTCTTGTGACCCTTATACCACGCTGCCTAATAGGATAATAAGAGGCACTTTCATGAGACATTGGGCACCTTTGTCACCTGGCTTCTAATTCATACATACTGCACATCATTCCACAAAGGACATGGAATAGCTTGTTATCTCATGAACTGTTCACAACACTGAAGGTGGCTACTATAGTATTTATTTCTCAAATGACAAAATCGAGGTTTGGAGATGTGGCTTGCCCAGGATCACTAAAAAGAGGCAGAGCCAGAGCCAGGATTGAAACCCAAATGTACACTTCTCTAAGTGCCTGTGTTGTGGTTATGCGTGTGATCTGCTCCTGGCAGGGAAGGGTCTGTTTCTCCACTAGAGGGTGAGGGAGAGTCACAAACCCTGGTCCAACCCTCTGTTCCCTCCCTACTGATGCATGGCCCTAACCCAGGAATCTAGAACTCTGGTCAGGGTGTCTGTCCCCATCTTACCCCTCCACACCCCCCACCCCCCTGCAGACACATGCACACATCTCACATCTGGTTTCCATTCTCTGTGCTGGCCTGCCCTGTGTCTTAACAAATTGACCCCCGCTTCTTTCCCAACAGAATGGGGCCAGAGGTGGTAAGCTTAGGGTTGATGCATCAGGAAGAAGCGATCACCATGGTCTTCTCTGGCTCAGTCTCATCCAGCTTCTGGGAAGGTGAGACAGGGCCCCAGGGCCAGGCTGGGGGATCAAGGGTAAGGCTTTGACCAGCCGTCTTGGTTGGGGGTAGAAAGAAAGATAAGCATGCTAAAATATAATTCTCTCATTTATTGAACTGACATTTATGGAGCCCCCTTTTTTATGCCAAGGTCAGGGGCTTAAGTTACAAAGGGTGAATAAGAGGCGCCTTACGGAGCTCTCAGCCTATGTAATGTCAGAGCTGAGACTCAGAGTCAGTGGGAAAACTGAGGCTCAGAAGGAGAGAAAAGAGGCCTGCCCACAGTCATACAGCCAGTTGGTAACAGAGCACAGTCCTCCCTACCCACCTTCTGTGTGCCTCTGGCGGCCACTCCATCACCCAGGGAACCCAGAAGCTTGAAGCTACCTAGGGTGAGGGCAGGGGTTTGCTGGCCACCCCTCCTCTCCAGCATGGAGAGGGAGGACCTGGGACATCCAGGGTGCAAGATGACAGCTCTTGTAGGAGAAGGGACTGGAGCTGGTGGCCTCTTTTGTGCTGTCACTCAAGGTCAGAGGAATAAAAACCTTGCTGTTCTCTTTGTTCCCCTGCATTTCCTTTTTTAATGTTTGAGTGACATTACAACAGAGATCAGAGACCTCAGAAAACATTCTCCTCCAGCCCTTTCTCCCATTTCACTGAGCAGACAGAAGCCAAGGAGCAGGAGGCTTGCAGAGGTCTTGTAGCAGAAGTGCAGATTGCAGTGCCAGAATCTGGTCTCTTCTGCGTTGCCCGCTCTAACTTACAGCCTGACATGGGTTGGATTTGCAGGAGTCTGGGAAGGCTCTGCAGATATGTTCAACAAACACCTCCAGGAAGTCTTCTCAGAGCACAGCACCTCCTGCTGGGCTCCCTAATGTTGGCCTTGCCCTTTGGGCTCAGCAGAACTCCAAGTGTTGGTCAGCAGGAATGTTGAACTTAAGTTTGTGGGCCTCGAAGAGGTTGCACAGCTCTTTGATATAGCGCTGGTGCAGCTGGTTCACTTCCTCCTCCGAGGGATGCAGCGTCTTCTGTACCTCGATGGGCTTCCCCACTGCAAGGCATAGAAGCGTGCAGTGGCTTAGGGTAGGGAAGGGGACCTTGGGGCAGGTGCCCATCCCCATGGTTCATCCCTGCAGAAAAGTGCTCTTACTGCCATTCCTTCCAACCCTAATCTCAGGTGATGAATTTTAAGACATTAGGGCAACTCCAAGATTCTGATATAACAACAATGGCTGGATTTCTTTTCTTTCTTTCTCTCTTTCTTTCTCTCTTTCTCTCTCTCTCTCTTTCTCCCTTCCTTCCTCTCTCTCTCTCTCTCTCTTTCTTTCTTTCTTTCCTGCAGAGTCTCGCTTTGTAGCCCAGGCTGGAGTGCAGTGGCACAATCTCAGCTCACTGCAACCTCCACCTCCCGCATCCCGGTTCAACCAATTCTCCTGCCTGAGCCTTCCGAGTAGCTGGGATTACAGGCATGCGCCACCATGCCCAGCTAATTTTTGTATTTTTAGTAGAGACAGGGTTTCGCCATGTTGACCAGGCTGGTCTTGAATTCCTGACCTCGTGATTTGCCCTCCTCGGTCTCCTAAAGTGCAGGGATTACAAGTGTGAGCCACCGTGACCGGCCAATGGCTAGATTTCAATGTGTCAGGCAATGTATTAGGTGCTTTACATGAAATACTCCCTTTTATCCTATGGGTATAAAAAACTGTCATTATTCCTATTTGACAGATGAGTCAATGAGGCTCAGAGAGGTTACCTGACTTGTTCAAGGTCACATAGCCAGGAAGAACCACTGCCAGGTTTTAGACCCCGGGGGTGTGCCCTCACCTTCAGGCTATATGATCTGGGGAGTCCAAAATGCCATGATTGGAAGCGGCTATATTTCTAAAATGGGGTGAGTTCATAGCCCAGGCAGCTCTTCTTTCCCCTCTACCCCTCCACGCTGACCTGCAGTGGATCTCTTATCCCAGGGAGGAATCAGAATGGACCTAACTCATCTCTTTCTCTGGTTCTGCCTGGCTGGGAAGGCAGCTCCTCTGTCCTCTCTTCTGGCAATAGTTCTGGAGGCAGCAGAAGTATTAAAATTTGTGAAAATATTGCCACACAACACAGGGGGGGTCATGATGTAGGGGTTTACCAAGTCTGCTCAATTAGCAAGTGGATGGATGGAAGGATGGAGATGAGATAAATGGACTTCTCCCTATAAAGTCTTTCAGAGGCCGGGCATGGTGGCTCATGCCTGTAATCCCAGTACTTTGAGAGGCTGAGCCTGGGGGATCACTTTAGGTCAGGAGTTCGAGATGAGCCTGGCCAACATGGTGAAACCCTGTCTCTACTAAAAATACAAAAATTACCCAGGCGTGGTGGCATGCACCTGTAATCCCAGCTACTCTGGCAGTTGAGGCAGGAGAATCGCTTGAACCCGGGAGGTGGAGGTTGCAGTGAGCTGAGCTCATGCCACTGCACTCCAGCCTGGGCAACAGAGCAGGACTCTGTCTCAAAAAAAAAAGAATTAAATCCACCTTTTCCGGCATTGTAAAAAGTCAGAATGATCCTAATAAAAACCTCAACTTTGTTATACAAAAACAGTGTGATATTTTGGAAGATACTTAACTTCTCTGAGCCCCAGTTTACATCAACAAAATGGGTATAGTAACTCCTGTCTTGAAGGTATGGCCAGGCACAATGGCTCATGCCTTTAATTCCAGCACTTTGGGAGGCTGAGGCAGGTGGATCACTTGAGGTCAGGGGTTTGAGACCAGCCTGGTCAACATGGTGAAACCCCATCTCTACTAAAACTACAAAAATTAGCTGAGTTTTGTGGTGAGCAATTGTAGTCCCAGCTACTCGGGAGGTTGAGGCATGAGAATTTCTTGAACCCGGGAGGCAGAGGTTGCAGTGAGCCAAGATTGTGCCATTGCACTCAAGGCTTCCTGCCTTGAAGGTTGTTAGAATAAGCTGAGTTGCTTCATGTAGGGCAGCTAGTGTAGTGCCTGGCACACAGCAGATGCTCAGCAACTGGTCGCAACTATTGCTCTTGGCACCTCTGCTATAGTTCCTATCCCAGACTGTCTTCTATTCTATCTGCTTGCGTGTGTATGTTTCCCAGTCTAGAATGTGAGCCCCATTAGGGCAGGAATAAATCTGGCCCATCTCCACGTTCCCTTGCAGCACACAGCATAGCCTCCTCCCTCCCAGCCTGGTCCTGGACTTACCCACAGTGGTGATGGGCCGGCGGTAGGGTATTAAACCAAAGCTGTACTGAAAGACACCACGGCCATGAAAGAGTGGGAGGGAGATGCCCATGATCTTCTGCAACCGATTCTGGATACAGCGCAACCAGGAGCCAGAAGAGTTGGGAATCTGGTCAAATAGGTCATTCTCCCCGAAGGAGAAGATCGGCACCAGGGGTGCCCTGGAGACAAATAGAGGAAAGAGGGCATGTGGGAGGCCCCAGAGAAGGCACAAGCTAAAAGGCCCTTTAGCTTCCTGCAGGGACTCTGTGACCAAGAAATGGAGCAGAGGTCAGCCACCTGGGCTGGAAGTGGAGGCCTGGGTTATCTCCCAGACCTTCACAGCCCCATTCTCTGGGCAGGTCCCTTGCAGGGCCACAACTTCCCAGTTGCACCATGAGAGGTAGACCAGCATGCTTCAGACAGTCCTCCCAGATACAAAAATCTGCATTGTTTTTCCCAGAAAAATCTCTCCCACCTCAGCTGGCTCATGTTTCTCAAGGATGCTTCACCCCAAGTAGGGAGAAGAGCTCTGAAATGTACCCCAAATATCACTCTTCTAGATACCATAGGTCTCAGGTCAAGTGCCGGTTTTGTGGAATATGTTCATTGCCACCTAGTTTCTTAGATTACTGAGTCTCCCTTGTGGAAACTTTTCTAGGTATTTGGGCGTGAGACACCAAAATATAATCTTCATTGTGAATGGACTGAAAATCTCTACCAAAATAGAATCTGCATTCGTCTCTGCCCTCTTCCCACCAAAATAAAATCCTTGCCAATCGCCAACTGAAACCAGAGTGCTCTTCCCAGAGGCTTGATACCCGTGTGTCAGGGCAAGCCTGATGAAGCCCTTTCGGTTCCGCAGTAACAGCGTGAAGGATCCAGGCCTGGCATCCAGGGCCTCCTGGGCACCCCCTACAATGATGCCCAGCAAGTTTCCGCCACCCTTCCTGTTCAGAATGTGAGCAGCGCTCTCCCTTTCTGATGTGACCAACCCTGCGGAAAGAGAAAGGTGGGTCAGGTATGGGGTGAGGGAGCAAGGGCTATGAAAGCACATATAGCCCATGAAAGAGATCACCAGCAAGGCCTGGGGTTGCCCCAACTGCACCCCATTCCAGCTAGGAGCTCCCTGAGTCCTCTCCCTCTTCCCAACCCACTGATGGACTTAGCACCCAGCACGGTGCTGTAGGAAGTGCTTCTTTGGGCCCAGCCTCCTTCTCCTACTGCACACGCTCTTGGAAGAAGTATAGAACTGTTGGCAACCCTCCTGAAAATTTGTTACCTTCCTGAGCTGCTCAGGGGTGGAAACACTCACCTGCGGACATGATGTAATCTCTGAAAAAGGGGGCCCGGAACCACAAGGTCAGCATCATCAGATGGGGGCGGATACCGGGGAAGATCGAAGAGAAGCCTGTGCTCTCAGTGCACAGGTTGGCAAAGGCTCCAGCTGCCAGGACTCCATGGGGGTGGAAGCCCGCAATGTAGTTCCGAGAGGGGTCCAGCTCAGCAGTCTTGACCAGCTGCAGGGACAGCAACCTACTGAGCCAGGGTGGGGCCTGTGTTCCAACCCTGACTCTTCCCCTCACTGGTGTGACCTTGGGAAACCCCCCTGAGCCTCCAGGTCTTCATCCATATGTCTGACCACCCTGGGTTCTTACGAAGATTCAGATATGGTGTGTGACAGCACCTGGAGATACCATGGTGCTGGCTGTGCCACAGAGTTGATGCTGGCTTGGGACAAATTGCTTCCCTCTCCTACAGACTCCTCATTTATAAAGTGGCAATACAGTATTTGGCCCTGTCCCTACTACCTCCTAGGGCTACTGAGAAACTCAGGCATGATGGTGCCTGGAATTATTTATACCAACACCACCTGTACAGGATCTAACATGAAGGCATCAAGAGGCTACACAGGGGTATCACCATGCTGAAATAGCCCCATTTTAAGAAAAACAATGTTCCAGCCAGGCATGGTGGCTCATGCCTGTAATCCCAGCACTTTGGGAGGCCAAGGCGGGTGGATCACCTGAGGTCAGGAGTTTGAGACCAGCCTGGCCAACATGGTGAAACCCCACCTCTAATAAAAATACCAAAAATTAGCTAGGTGTAGTGGCAGGCGCCTGTAATCACAGCTACTCAGGAGGCTGAGACAGGAGAATCACTTGAACCTGGGAGGCGGAGGTTGCAGTGAACTGAGATCGCACCACTGCACTCCAGCCTGGGCAACAAGAGCAAAAAACTCCATCTCAAAAAAAAAAAAAAAAAAAAAAAAGAAGAAAAGCATTTGTGCATAGAGAAACACCCTGGTGAGTGGAAGGGCCTGTGTCTAGGTCACTGAGCCAATATTAGAATGGACATCTACGCGCACGTTATCTATTGTGGTCCCACAGAGCATGCAGTCGGATACGTGCACATAGATACATGTAATAATACTGGCTCAGTGACCTAGACACAGGCCCTCCCACAGTGCAGGCACTTGGATACTAAGGTGTGGCCTGCACCTCCCTAGATGTGGTCTCTATTGGTATCTTTCTATGCTAACCTCTTTCATCTGTCCCCTGGACCCAAATCTATCACAACATCCCTGTGAAGATTACAGATCATGTGTCTGATGCATCTGTGTCCCCAGTGCAGGCCTGGAACAGAGGAGATGCTCTGGAAAGGGTATGGCATGAAGGAAGGAAGGAATAAGCCCAATGGATGAGGATGGTGCAGCCTCAGAAGGAAGGCTCCCTGACCCCAATCCTATCCTGGCATGTTACCAGGGTTCCACTAGTGAGAAAAAGAACCTTGAGTCAGGAGACCCAGGTTCTGCCACTGGCTCATCACATGACCGTTGTCAGGCCCCTGTCCCCTCTGTGGCTCAATTATTTCTGTCCCACAGGACACTGATAATGCCTCCCTGGCAGGGTTGCTACTGGGTTTAAGGGGGTAAACAAAGAAGAGAGGAGACTTGTGAAGTGCTGTGGTCTGTCTCCCTCCCTCAGTTCTGTTAGGTGAAGGGAGTGTGACTAAGCGAAGATGGATGGCTGTCTGGGGAAAATCCTGCCTGGGTGCATGGCCTGGCAGGCTGGGTGTGCAGCAGGCAGTGGGGCCTGGAGAAGGACATAGCCAGGTTACTAGGCTCTGGGGGTTGTTATCGCTTTTAGTTGATGTGATTTATATACCATAAAACGTATCCATTTTAAGTATGAAATTCAGGGTTTCAGTACATTTAAAAAGTATGGGATAGGTGTGGTGGCTCACACCTCTAATCTTAGCAGCCTGGCAACACAGTGAGACTCCATCTCTACAAACATTTTTTTAAAGTTGTGGTGGTGTGTGCCTATAGTCCAAGCTACTTGGGAGGCTGAGGCAGGAGGATTGCTTGAGCTCAGGAATGAGGCTGCAGTGAGTTATGATTGCACCACTGCACTCCAGCCTGGATTACAGAAAGAGATCCTGTCTTTCTTTCTTTTTTTTTGAGACAGGGTCTTACTCTGTCTCCCAGACGCGAGTACAGTGGCACAATCTCGGCTCACTGCAACTTCTGCCTCCCAGGCTCAAGTGATCCTCCTGCCTCAGCCTCTTGAGCACCTGGGATTACAGGTGTGCACCACTATCGCCAGGCTCATTTTTGTATTTTTAGTGGAGATGGGGTTTCACCATGTTGGCCAGGCTGGTCTTGAGCTCTTGACCTCAAATGATCCATCCCCCTCAGCCTCCCAAAGTGCTGGGATCACAGGTATGAGCCACCACACCTGGCCAAGATCCTGTCTTTAAAAAAAAAAAAAAAGTGTGTTACCAATCAATATCTAATTCCAGAGCATTTTCAACACTCCAAAATAAACTCATACCTATTAGAAGTCACTGCCCCTCTCCCCAGCCCCTGGAACCACGAATTTACTTTTTGTCTCTATGGATTTGCCTGTTCCAGACATTTCACGTAAATGGAATCATATAATATGTGGCATTTGTGTCTGGTTTCCTTCATTTAGCATGATTGGAGGTTTTTCTATGTTATAATATGTATCTGTACTTCATTCCTTGCTGTGACTGTATACTATTCCATTTTATGGATATTCTACATTTTGGATGTTCATTCATTAGTCAAGGACATTTGAGCGGTTTCACCCTTGGGCCATTACAAATAACGTGGCCACGAGCACTTGTGTACAAGTCTTGGTGTGAAAATGTTTTCAGTTCTTTGGCAGGGGCTACAGGGGCGCTTTTTTAACCCCAAGACGCTCTTCAGTCCCTGCCTAAACGATCACAGCACCACATAGGGCTCTCCGGGAGTGGACATCTGGACATTGAGTGGGAGGGAGGACAGCGAGGGACTGCTATGTCTCTACTGTGTCTGTCCGTTCCCATTTCTCCACAAACGAACTTGTGCCCCCTCACAGCCGTGGGTCAACTGAAGAGCCTCAAGAGCCCACTGTCCTAACAGATTCTTTATGGTTCACAAAGCAGCCATGCTGTTAGCTTGTTTAATGTTCAATCTGGCCCTAGGGAGGCTGACTGGAGTATGATAGGCCCCGTGTGACAGTCCAGCAAACTGAGCTGTGGAGACCTGCCCTGAGCCACACAGATGGCTCTGAGTTCTGCCACCTCCTGCAGAAAGCATCAGAGAGAGAGAGAGGAAGAGAGAGCGCGCAAAGTGAGCCAGGAAGCCTTTGTTCTAGACCCAGGGAAATATCCTGGCACTCAGGACTGTCTTTGGGGCCTTTCACTCACTAGTCAGACTTGGAAGGTCCAGAGTTCTCTCGATTCCCTTCTCCCAGGAGAAAGTGGCTCCTGCATCAACAACCTGCCTCACACTGCTCCAGGGCCTGGCGTGGGAGAGCTTGTTCATGGCCTATTTATGTGCTTAGATTAATTGGCAGGTTAAAAATGCTGGGCATGCAGGGTCTGATTCAGTAGGTCTGATCTGGCCTTGGGCATCTGATTTGTGACAGATTTCCTAGGGGATTTGGTTACACATCAAAATTCAAAAATCCCCTTTCAGGTTCAGGCAGTTAGCGCTGTGTGTGTGCGTGTGTGCGTGTGTGTGTGTGTGTGTGTGTTTAGGGACTAGGGTACTTCCCTGTCTCCCCCCATCCAGCTCAGATGGATGGAAAGGCTTGGATATTCTCCTTGGCCCTGGCTGTAACTCCCTGTGGCCCTGGGTAGGGCTTTGGCCTCCCCAGTCCACTCTGTTGATAAGTTATTAGCTGGTTCTCGCCCCACCATAGTCACACATTCACTTCACAGACACGCATTGATACCCATAGACACATCCCCTCAATTCTTTTTTTTTTTTTTTTTTTTTTTTTTGAGACGGAGTCTTGCTCTGTAGCCCGGGCTGGACTGCAGTGGCCGGATCTCAGCTCACTGCAAGCTCCGCCTCCCGGGTTTACGCCATTCTCCTGCCTCAGCCTCCGGAGTAGCTGGGACTACAGGCGCCCGCCACCTCGCCCGGCTAGTTTTTTGTATTTTTAGTAGAGACGGGGTTTCACCGTGTTAGCCAGGATGGTCTCGATCTCCTGACCTCGTGATCCGCCCGTCTCGGCCTCCCAAAGTGCTGGGATTACAGGTTTGAGCCACCGCGCCCGGCCCACATCCCCTCAATTCTAACATGCGCACTCTCCCTGCCCACTTGTTGAAGAAATACGGTAAGTGCCAGGCCCTGAGAGCTGGAAAGAGTGCCAGAGTTGGTAAACACTCCCAGTATCTACCAGGCCCCAGGCACCCTGCGTACACCAACTTGCCTCACCCTCCGTCAACCGTATGAGGGAAGTATTGTATCATTGCCCCCCGCACTTAGCAGATGAGGAGATGGAGACACAAGGTTCATTAACTAGTTGTGGGTCATATAGCTAGTATAGACTTAGAGCCAGGGTTTGAACCCAGAAGCCTGGTTCTGCGTGTGTAACCAGGAGGCTCTGCCACCCTGTAGGAGTCCTAAGTAAAAGGGGATTCATGGGGTAAGAGGGTGCACTCCAAGTAAGAGCGCCAGCACAAGTGATGTAGCTCATGCCTAGATGGCTCGGATGGCAAAGGGAGGACAAGCGAGTGAGGGGTGGGTGGGGTGCAGGGACTGGAAGGCTGCAGCAAAATAGAGTTTAAGAGCCATGGGAGTCACTGTCACTGCAGTATTTCACTCATTTTATGAGGATTATTCCAGCCGCAGTGTGGTGGATGGACTGCTGGGGGCATTGGCAGAAGTAGAGCCAAGATAAAGAGATATGTATGGTCAGGGCTTAGGGCCAGGGGAGGAGAAATCAGCCTGGAGGAGTTTAGGAGGCAGAGCCCAGGGCTTAGAGCAGTGGTTCTTCACTGGGGCAAGTGTATGCTCCCAGCTCCTCCCCCTCCCCTAACAGAAGTCATTTGGTAATGTCTATAAATGTTTTTGGCTGTCACAGCAGGGAGGGATAGTGTTACTGGCATTGAGTGAGTAGATGCCAGGGGTGCAGACAGTCCCCACAACACAGAATAATACAGCCCCAAATTTGAATGGTGCCCAGGTGGACAAAGCTACCTGGAGGGTTACCTGGCTGTGGGTTGCAGTGGACCAGAATAGGGTGGGAGGTTCCCAGTCCCTGCAAGGCAGCCCTGGGGCTAAGGGAACCGCTGTGCTCTGTGCCAGCTCTCCCTGCCCATGGCAGAGGTAGGACTCCTGGGAGGGTCCTGGAGATGCGCCCCAGCTCCATGTGAGAAGACCTCCCAGGCAGAGCCTTCCTATAACCAAGGGGGCAATCTCAGGGGGAAGCACGTATCCTAGATTGTGTAAGCTGGGATTTCTGTCCTGGGTGAAAGCTGGGCACCTGAGTCCCAGTGACTCGGGTTAAGAGACCCAGTGCTGAGAGGTGGTGGCTAGGAGGTCAGGCACTAAGGCCCTAGAGATGCCTGGCAGGCTGCAGAAGACCTGAGGGTTTGTCACAGGTGTGTGTGGGTGGGGTCAAGGAGGTGGCCTGCAGGCTGCCCCAAGCCTGGCTCTGACAGTGACAGGCACAGTGCAGGCAGCATTTCCTGACAGCTGGTCACAGCCCTGGTCATAGCCCTCGGTGCCTAAGGCCTTGGCCCATGGAGACCGTGTTTGCTCCAGATGACAAAATCTTCAGCGCCAGGGAAACCCAGAGCCTGGGTGGGTCTTCAGTATCAGGTGGGAACAGCTCCTCCTACACAAAACATTGCCTGACGCTCCGCAACTAGCTCTGTGGGAAGCTGACCGGGTGACTTTAGAAAGTTCCGAGGCCCAGAAACGGTTTCTGAATTTTTCTTGAAATTCCATCACCAGGTGCTAGTTCATAAAAGCACAGTAAGAACTGATAAAAGCTCAGAAATCACTGGACAGCCACATGTATATGGCAGGGGAGCGCAGAGGTTTGTGAATGGTGGGGGAGTTCAGCAGAGCTGGGTCTCCCTACTGTCTGCTCACCCCATGATCCCTTCAGGACTTGGGCAGTAAAGGTGTGTGGGAGGCTGGGAGGGTCTATGCAAAGAGAGTCTGCAGGCCACAGCCCCACCCAACAGGCCCAGCTTAGAACATAGTCAAAATGAACATCATCTCGCCCTCTGCTGGCCACTCCGTGGCATTGCCACCTTCGGCAGATGGTGCTGCAAAGGGCCTGCGGTGAGCAAGGATTCTGGAAAAACACACACACACGCACACACACACACACACACACACACACACACAAAACGGTGCACAGGAGCAGGCACAGTGGCTGACGCCTGTAATCCCAGCACTTTGGGAGGCCGAGGTGGGCAGATCATCTGAGGTCGGGAGTTCAAGACCAGCCTGGTCAACATGGTGAAACTCCGTATCTACTAAAAAAGTACAAATTAGCCAGGAGTGGTGATGGGTGCCTGTAATCCCAGTTACTCAGGATGCTGAGGCAAGAGAATCACTTGAACCTGGGAGGTGGAGGTTGCAGTGAGCCGATATAATGCCACTGCATTCCAGACTGGGCAACAAAAGTGAAACTCCGTCTTAAAAAAACAAAAACAAAACAAAAAAACAAAAAAACAAAAAAAAAAAACGGTGCACATAGAATTTCTGCAAATCGAGGCCTGTGTCCCACCAGTGTTAACAGTACTAAGGTTGAGATATCCTCCTCAAGAGCCACCTGGCTGAGGAAGGAGCAGGAAGGACGTTGGTAGGGTAGGTGCAGAGCTGCCTCAGCATTTCTGCCAGACCTGCAACTGGAAAGGCTCCAGGTACACAGAGGGCCAGATGCTGTCCTTTGAGGCCCTTGGGCTGGCTGAAGACACCCCAGGAGAACTTTCAGGTGAGCAGTCCCAGTCCTGCAGAATGGCCTCCAATGGCCTCCACCCTCTGACCTGAGGGCCTCCCCAGCCTCCTCTGCAGGCCTGCCTTCTGCTTTAGCCATGCTGGATGTCAGCCTGTGGCTCAGAACTCACCGTGAGGCAAGTGTCTGGGCCTGTGCTTGTGTGTTTGCCTTTTCAGGCTGCTTTTTTTCCCCCAGTGGGCTTGGGATTCAGCTCAAGAGCGGGAAGTGAGACCAGAACCTCCAAAGCTCTCCGGGAGGCCAGAGCCTGCTTCAGGTTTTCTTTGGCTTGGTCCCTGATGTCACACACACGTCCCCAGGCTGGCCACAGCACACTTTCCCGGGGAGACTCTGACCTTTCTGGCACAGAAGAGGAAGCCCAGGCTGGAGAGAGGAGAGGCAGGAAAGGGAGGTGAATCTCAAAGTGCAGAGGTCCTGGGGTGGGGATGAGGACTGTGCCTCTGACACATCCATGGTCTGCTCCCAGAACTCAGCAAGCCCTAAGTTTCTTTGCTGACAAGACCCTGGAGGGGGCCTTGCAGGAAACACATATGAGGGGCAGGGGAGACTGCCCCCATCCTGAGCCCCCCAGGCTAGACCATGTTCTGCCTTTCCACATCTACCACCCCTCGTGAGCATGGCACGTGAGTCTCTGCCAGCCACTGCCTGCTCTCTGCCCAGCACCCCCCTTGCCCTTTGCCCTGGAGGCCCTGCCCACTGCGGTGCTAGAGGCTCCTGCATTCCAGTTGTGGCTCAGCCTTTGCCAGTCCTTCTTGGGCTCCAGGACTCTCAGAAGGGAGCAAGGCAGGAACCCCAACCACCTTGCGTTCCCATAATTCAGACAAGTTTCTTAAGTTTGGTGGACTTGTTTCCTCTACCCCTCCCCCTTTGCAAGCTGGAGACCTTGTTTCTGGAGGGACAGGAAGAGGTAGGCTTCCCAGGCAGAGTGGGAGAAGTTACATAGGTGTGGAGGTCAGAGCAGCAGGACTCTCAGAGTCCTCTCCAGACTCGAGTCACAACCACGCCTTCTCAGAGTCCCACTGCCAAGGTAAAATAATACTAGCCGCCTGTTTACTGAAAACCTACAAAGTGCTAGCCGGGCATGGTGGTTCACGCCTGTAATTCCAGCACTTTGGGAGGCTGAGGTGGGCGGATCACCTAAGGTTGGGAGTTCGAGACCAGCCTGACCAACATGGTGAAACCCCGTCTCTACTAAAAATACAAGAATTAGCCAGGCATGGTGGCCGGCACCTGTAGTCCCAGCTACACAGGAGGCTGAGGCAGGAGAATTGCTTGAACCTGGGAGGCAGAGGTTGCAGTGAGCCGAGATCGCACCACTGCACTCCAGCCTGGGTGACAGAGCCAGAGGGAGACTCCATCTCAAAAAAAAAAAAAAAAAAAAAAACCTACAAAGTGCTTTACCTGCTTTGTCTCATTGAATCTACACAACCCAGTGAGGTATGTGGCATTATCCCCATTTTACATATGAGGAAACTGAGGCTCAGAGAGACTAACTTGCCCACCGTCATACAGCCAGTATGGTATGGGGCTGACTTGGGATCAGAGTCTAGTCTGCCTGTCTCCACAGGCCATGTCTTATCCCTTTCTTCTCTCCTGCTTCCAGAGGAGGGCCAACTGCCCCTGCCTGTCCCTTCCTTGCATCCCTGCTGCCTTCCCCACCCTATCCCATCTGGCCAATAAACCATCACTGCCTGGCTGCATAGATCAAGGCTTTAGATTGCCTGGGATTCCGTTGAAGGGGCCGAAAGATCTGCTCACTCAAATTCAGGGATCTGCTCTGCTCTGGACACACCTTCAAGTCCAGGGCCAAGTGTCCACAATGACCATGAGGTGACAGGAGTCGGAAAGCCAGAGATTTGAAGGCATGCAGAGGAGGAGGAATCAGTCTACTTACTAGATACATGGGGAGACTGAGCCTCAGAACAGGATAAAGCTTTGCCCAAAGATACACTATATGCCAGTTAGGGGCAGGGTCGGATCTGAGAACAACTCAGGGCTCTCTCACCTGTCCCTTTGCCCACAGTCAGTGTACACACTTGGAAATCTGTAAAAGAACTTGTGTGACATTGGTGACATTTTCTCTTTCTCTGGGTGTCAGCCTCCTCTTCTGGTAAATGTTAAGTGTGAGGTTAGATGGTCCTTAGAAACTATAAGTTTATTACCTTCACTCCCAAGCCTGGGCTGCTCATGGGTCTGTCCCTTTAAGATACATAGGCATGCCTTACATCATACACCCCACAGAACTCCTTCAAACGCTGGACACTCATCAGTCCCTGTACTGGCCCTGCATCCCTGCGAAACCATGCAGATGCGAAACCATGATCGGAGAGAAGCTGGACTCTTCTCCAGGTCACATAGTAGCAGAAGCCCTAGCTCCTACCTCCCAGCCCAGTAGCCTCCTCAATGCATGCAGGGCCATATTTTCCCATGAAGATGTGGGCACTCTGGCCCTGACCACACCCCAGCCAACTCCCTCCCCCACCCCAACCAGCCTCAATACTCACCGAGATGGGGAAATAGTCCTTCATGTACTTCCATATGGTCCAGCACCTGATGGCCTGGACGCGCCGGCCCCCCTGCCGCGGCTTGTCTCGGTCCAGGTACCACCAGGCCGCATATAGGACAGTGAGGAGCCAGAATCTTGTAAACAGGAGGGCTATGAAGCCCACAATGCAGATCTCGGCTGGGGAGGGAAGAAGGAGCTGTCAGGAACAGGATCTGAGAGGAAGGCAGGTGAAATTGCTCAGACTGAGCTCTGCCCATAGGCCCGGCACTAGCAGCACCGTCCTGTCCAATCCTTGACCCCAGGAGGAAGACAGCAGCTTCCTGATCCTTCAAGGAGGAGAGGAAGGCCTCGAGAGGGACTGTGGCCAGCCCAGTGTCACTGGGAGCACGCGTTGAGCCTAGGTAGGCCTAATACCAAAGCTCACTTTCCCCCCTGCACCAGGCCACCTAATTCACTCCATCCCCCGCCTATCTCCCTTCTCCCCAGGAGAGTTGTCTGTACTTACCAAGTAATCAATGGGGACAATTGGTTGGATAAACTGTTCTGGTTTCCATCTTTTGGGATCTCAGAGCAAAGGGAGACCCTTTCCTGCTCTCTTTCTGTTCATCCTCTGCCCCATTTTCCCAGAGATAAATCCAGGTAGGTCCCTCCCCTTATTCAAGCCCTTCGTGACTTCCCCATAACTTCAGGCATAGTCCAAGCAGCTCAGCCTGGCCTCCAGGAGCCTCAGAGCTGGCCCTGTCCCTCCCGCTCCCGCCTCATGTCTGTGGCCACTCTGAACTACACAGTGTTCTCAAACCCTGCTGAGCTCCAGTGACCAGTGACATTTGTTGTTGAAAGAAGGAGGGACGGAGGAAGAGGCCAGCCCTGGCCACCCCAGAATCAGGGGTGCATCAGGGCTAAGACCAGGCCTCGTGTGGAATTCCCCTCTGACTGGTGGTTTCTCAGCCCTTACTAGAGGCAAATCCTTGATTGTTTGCCTCATCTGTGCAAAGGGGGCATACAGGGATGTGTAAAATGTCTAAAAACCCTTAGAACAGAGACACAGCTCAACCAGAAGGGATGCTAGGGCAGGGTCCTGGAGGGCCTGCTTTGCCAAGGGGGAGCTTTTTAGCTACAGAATTGTGGGGGAGTTTCTGAGGAAGTACGTGTGTGTGTATGTGGGTGTATATGTGTGTGTGTGAGAGAGACAGAGAGAAAGAGAGAGACATGGCTACTGACCAATGTGTTCAGAGTGTGTCAACATTTCAACAACCAGGAGAGTGGTATCTGTGTGCAGAACCCCAGCCCTGGAGGCAGCAGTTCCTACCCTGTCTGGTGCCAGCAGATGAAAGGAAAAATCCCATGGACTCCCAGTCATTCTCCCTTCCCAAGCCACAGATCCAGGCCCTCCTCGAAAATGTTACCTTCGGCAGAGCTGTTGTTTGGGCAAGGGTGATCTCTCTGGCCACAAATCAGTGGTGGGGTGGGTAAGGGGCCATGCTCATGCCCTCTAGTGTGAGCCCAGCCCAAGGTCCAGGCCAGGTCTGTGCTGAGCAGAGGTCAGCACATTTCTTCATTTCCTTCACAATAGCCCTGCAAGGCCAGCATTGTTGTCCCCAATCTGCAGATGGTGAAGTCGAGGCTTGGAGAGGTCAGGCATGGGCTGGCTAAAGTCACGCAACTGGTCAGTTGCCCAGCTGAGTCTGACTCCGGGTTTCCTGGTACCCAGCATGCCCACTCCACAGTCCACTCTCAGCCTGCACTTTCTCCCCGCCCTCCTGTTCTTCCCTGTTTCTCTCACTTACCCCACTACCAGCCCCAGTTTCCTCCTCCCAGAGAGTACAGAAGGAAATCCCTCCTCTCTGAGCAGGCTGCAGAGCCCAGAACTCTCCCATCACCACACAGAGGCTTTCCTACACCACCCGGCAGCCTGCAGATGGTCTCCATCCAAGTGCCAAAGGAGAACCCACAGTGCAATCCAGGAAGAGTAAGTAACCTGCCCAGAGCCACAGATGGTGACTTCTACCCCACTCCACCACCAAGAAGCCTCTGGGCAGGCCCAGGAGTTCTCTCTGGGCAGGGGCTCTGAGCGCAACAAATCCCCCCTTTAGGATAAGTGTCTTCCCACCATCACTGTGCTGTGTGCACCTGGTGTGGCTGCTCTGCCTCACCTGAGTGCGGTGGTCTCCCATCCCACAGTGCAGCCCAACTTACCCAGAGCCAAGAACGAGAAGACAAACTGTAGGACAGCAAGTGTCTGCAGCCTGCGCTCCCACGGCACAAACAAGGGCGCGAACTCTACCATGCTGGAGGGTCAGCCTGAATCCCGCGGTTCTGTGAGCTCTGCTGTGGTCTGAGGCACCCACAGGTTTTTGTTCCTGCCCCAGGCTGTAGAAGCTGGCGGGGAGAGTGCCACACCCAGCCCAGCCCAGCCCCAAGGCCTCCTTGCCCCTGCTGAGGCAGGAACTTCTATCCTACAAGAAACCTTTGAATCTACCTGCTGGAGCCTGGCTAAGGAAGGAGGAAGAGAAGGGGTTGTATAGCCTTTATCAGCCTTCTCAGGCAACACCTTATCTACATGGCTACCTTTCCCTGATCGCTTAAATCTTGTCTTTCCTATAACTAGACAGGTGAAGCCCCAAGCATATGCAATCTCGCCCCCTTCCCACCTATTCAATGACTTGGCCCCAAGGTCAATGGATAAGACGACCTTGTCCTATCCATTGTTCCCTCTCCACACATATGCTGTACTAACTCCTACCTAAAAATCCCCACCCACACTGTGTCCTCCACCTCCTGCCCCGTTTTTCTGCTCACTCACACAGCAAACTCTTGGAAGAGCTGTCTTTCATGCCTTCCCGTCCTCACCTCCCATCTGTGGTACCATAAATAGTGGTCCACACTTCAGGTATCACCCTTCCACAAAAATGCCCTTGGCAAGTTCCCTAGTAACCTCCACGTTGTTAAATCCAGTAATCAATTCTCACATCTCATCCTGACCTATTGGCGGCATTAGATACGGTTGATCATTCCCGTGTCTTTGAAACCGCTTGGCCTTTGGACACTATGCTCTCCCAGTTTTCCTCCTAGCTCTCTGGCTGCTCCTTCTAGGTCTCCTTTGTGCCTCTCGTCTTTCACCAGGCCAGCTGTTAGAGTCCCCCTCCTCCACTCCATCCTCCGGACTTCTCTTTTCTCTCCAGTTCCTGCTCTGTGAGATCTCATCCAGGCTCACACCTGGCATTCTATTTACACAGCAAACACTTCCAAATCTGCATCTGCAGCTCTGCTCCCTGCAGCTCTAAACTTGAATCTCTAGGTGGTTCCTTGACATCTTCACTCAAATGCCTGATAGGCACCTCCACTGTAGCGTGTCTAAAGCTGAACTTGATTCCCTCCCCCACTTCCCTCCTGCCCCGCTGACTCCTCCTCTGCTCTTTCCTATCTCAGTAAAGGGTAACGCCCATTTACCCAGTTGCTCAGGCCAAAACCTGAGTCACACTAGATCCCTTCTATTCTTCTCCATCCACCTCTATCAGTCACCATGTCCTATCAGTTCTTCTAAATCCCTCCCTCTAAATGTGAACTTCAAATTGACGTATATCATACATACGGAAAAATACACAAATCCTAAGTGGACAGAGGAATGCCTTTTCACAAAGTGAAAGTTATCACCACTCTGATCCACAAACGGAACTTACCTAGCACCCCTTCTGGCCTTGCCAGTCACTGCTCTCCTCCCTGTAGCTCAGCACCATCCTCATCTCTGTTCTTGAACTTTATGAAAAGTGAATCATTTAGTGTGTACTCTTTTGAGACATCATGTGTGTCTGTATTGCCTTTGTTTTCATTGCTGTTTAGCATTCCATTGTGTGAATATGCCACAAAGCGTCCATTTGGCTGCTGACAGGCATTTGGGCTGTCACCTGTTTCTGGCTATTATGAATATTGCTGCTATGAACATTCCTGTACATGTCTTTCAGTATACATCTATACACATTTCTGTTGGGTATGTGCCTGGAAATAGAATTGATGGGTCTCATGGTATATAGCCATAGAGTTTTCCAAAGTGATTGTACAAATCTATACTCCCACAAGCCTTATATAAGAATTCTGAGTTCTGAATTGTGGTGGGTGTGTAGTGGTCCTTCATTGTGGTTATAGCATTTTCCTAACAACTAATAAATATAAGCACATTTTAATATGCTTACTGCCCATTGGATGTCATTTTCTATGACCTTGTTCTAGTGTTTTGTTGATTTCAGTCTCTTGAACTGAACAGCTGCTGCCTACCTCCACAGCCAGTCTCTTTTATAGGCTGGCTCTGTCTTCCTTATTGGGTTCTCCGTTTACTTTCTATCCACGTTCTCCTCTCCACAATTTCAACACAGCAGGAGAACCCGCTGGGATTATGAATATGTGAATGTTCAAGTTTGGGAGTGAAGCCAAACTGTCTTCCAAAATAATAAAATAATACATCAGTGTACAGTCTCCCCAGGAATCAAGAGCCCCCCACCCCCACGGATCCGCTCTGACCTTGGTGTGGTCAGACTGTCTTCCAAAATAATACATCAGTGTACAGTCTCCCCAGGAATCGAGAGCCCCCCACCCCCATGGATCCGCTCTGACCCTTGGTGTGGTCAGACTTCTTTTCCAGCTACAGTATGAAATGAGACCAAGTTTTACTCTTGATTTGCATTTCCTTATCATTAATTTTTTTTTTTTTTTTTGAAACTGAGTCTCGCTCTATCGCCCGGGCTGGAGTGCACTGGCACGATCTCAGCTCACTGAAACCTCCGCCTCCCGGGTTCACGCCATTCTCCTGCCTCAGACTCCCAAGTAGCTGGGCCTACAGGTGCCCGCCACCACGCCCAGTTAATTTTTGTATTTTTAGTAGAAACGGGGTTTCACCATGTTGGTCAGGCCGGTCTCAAACTCCTGACCTCAGGTGATCTGCCCGCCTTGGCCTCCCCCAAAGTGCTGGGATTACAGGCGTGAGCCACCATGCCTGGCCTACACTAATGTTGAACATCTCTTTTTTTATGGGCATTTCCTCTTCTGTGAAAAGCTTGGTCTTCATTTTTGCCCATTTCTCGGGAGTGTAGCTTGTGCTTTTCATAATCATTTGTACTTCTTTATGTGCTCAGGATATTAACCCTTTGGGGTGGCATATATATTGTAAATCTCTTCTCCCAGTTTCCAGCTGGTCTTTTTTTTTGAGACAGTGTCTCACTCTGTTGCCAGGCTGGAGAGAAGTGGCACGATCCCGTCTCACTGCAGCCCCCAACTCCCAGGTTCAAGTGATTCTCCTGTCTCAGCCTCTCAAGTAGCTGGCCTTACAGGTACCCGCCACCATGCCCAGCTAATTTTTGAATTTTTAGTAGAGATAGAGTTTCACCGTGTTGCCCAGGCTGGTTTCCAACTCCTGACTTCAAGTGATTCACCCTCCTTGGCCTCCCAAAGTGCTGGGATTACAGGCATGAGCCACTGTGCCCAGCCCTAGCTTGTCTTTTAAGATGTCCTTTGATGAACAAACATTTTAAATTTCAATATAGTCATATTTTCCAGTCTTTCATAAAATACACATTGTTTGGTCGGATTTAGGAAATCTTATCTTACTTATACATTTCATTAAAAAATTTGAAGTTTTAGGTCAGCCCAGTGGCTCACACCTGTAATCCCAGCACTTTGGGAGGCTGAGGCAGATGGATCACGAAGTCAGGAGATCGAGACCATCCTGGCTAACACAGTGAAACCGCATCTCTACTAAAAATACAAAAAATTAGCCAGGCGTGGTGGCGGGCGCCGGTAGTGCCAGCTACTCGGGAGGCTGAGGCAGGAGAATGGCGTGAACCGGGAGGCAGAGCTTGCAGTGAGCCGAGATCGCGCCACTGCACTCCAGCCTGGGAAACAGAGCGAGACTCTGTCTCAAAAAAAAAAAAAAAAAGCCAGGCGAAAAACTGCTGCTGAAGGCTGGCGCTTTCAGAAGTGACGGGTGCCACTTCCAAGCTAAGCCAGAGGAGACTCTCTATCAAAAGCAGTTTTATTTACATGTACGATCCTAATTCAACTGGATGTTTAGATAGCATGAGTTAGGTTCAATCTGTAGCTTTTGACTTGGACTATTTGTTTTCAATCTCTTTGTTGAACACTCCCTCCATTCCCCACGATATGTTATCCTATAAAAAAAAAAAAAAAAAAAAAAAAAAAAAAAAATTTGAAGTTTTATTTTTTATATGTAAATCCTAATTCAACTGGATGTTTAGATAGCATGAGTTAGGTTCCAATCTTAGCTTTTGACATGTGGATAAGTATTTGTTTTCAATCTCTTTGTTGAACACTCCCTCCATTCCCCACGATATGTTATGCCACCCTAGTCATGTGAGACAGTTCTACGGATGCGTGGTCTGTATCTGGGCTTTTATTCTCTCCTGTTAGTCCTCTTATCTATCTCTGCCAGCACCACACTGTTTTTAAGAGCCCTCAGCCAAATTCGAGTTCCAGTACCGGAGCAGCTAGCAACACTGCCCGAGTGGGGTGGAGGTTTACAGTATGTTTTCCACAGGATACTCCTTTTCCCTGGGGGACAGCCTGATGCCTAGTCGTCCAACCCACAACCAGGGAGTCCCTCACACAGGAAGCTTGCTTATAGTGGCAGATGCTCTGGATTCAGAAAAGGTTGTGTAAAAAAAGTTAAAAAGAAAAGGAAAATATATTGGCAGATGCCCTGGTGGTTCTTACCACATCTGTGTCCAATTTGTGTCTGCCTGACTATTACTTGGACTCTGGGAGCCATCGAGGTAGTCTCTGGTTCTTCAGATAGAGGGTGCAAATTTAATACACCCCACAGTAAAAAATATGTTCACTAACTTATTACTTATGAATCCTGGACAGGGAGGGTGCCGTGAGTCAGGAAGGCAGTGCTCCATCCTGGGGTCATGAATGCAAAGTCAGGAAGAGAGAGAGAGAAAGAGAGAAACCCCACAACTAACGGTAGATATAAGGGAATGGGGTGTGAGTCACTTAAAGTTTGCAGGCAAATACCTGAATTGTCCCTTTAAAGGAATCAGTGGCAAAGCAGAAAGCCCATTGGGCTGGACTGGAGAGATGCCTCTAAGTTCCTAACTCTGGGCCCCTGTTTGAGACATTTGGGTGTGCCGGTCTATTTCTATGACTAGACAGCAACCTTTTCTGTGTGTTCCTGTTATAACTGACCCTGTGATGCCTGGGCATTTGACCTCGTGTTTGGTGACGAGTACTGTTTAAATAGTGGAGACATTGAAGGCTACTGGAGAAATGTGGGCCAGGCATGGAGCGAGGCATTTGATGAGCATCACTGAACACACAAAAGATGTAGAGGCACCACTGTGACCTGAAACCCCATTCACAGGCATCCACTCCACTGCATGGGGTCGAGCCAAGTAAATAGAGCAAC